TATTTAAATAGATATTTGAAATAGATCTATTGGTTAACATGTAAGTAATGAATGGAATCTATCTCTCAAAAAGAAGCATCTATTATTGTTTACCTTAATGTACTTTTTCTCACAGATCTGACATCGAAGCAAGAAAAAGAAAACAAATCAACAATGACTAACAAGATTTGAATGTTGATGTGTCCCTTTTTCTATTGTGTACGCGAATTACAATGAAACAAGAAAAAGTACAATCTTTTTCTTTTTTCTTTCTCTTGTATTGTCAAATCAATTATGATGACTATATAAGTAAAACGCGCAGTAACTCTATCTAACACACAACTAACAATCGCACTAAGATGGTCAAAATCGTCATTCTCATCGTCGCTCTCGTAAGTCTCTCTGATTCATTCTGGTAGTAAAGTCTTTATCATTTATTGACTGTAGGTATGTTTGGGATTAGTCTCAGCTCGTGGTGTTGAAAACCATGGTCGAGGAGGTGGCGATAATCATGGTAGACATAATGGTGGCTATAATTTTAATGGACACCAAGGCGGTTATTATCATCATGGTGGTTTTATGCATGGTAATGGCCACAGAGTAGCATCTCTAGTATGTGGCAATAGCACCTTGGCTCAATCATTCTTGGCTCCTATTCAAGCGGTTATTGCACAACTGGCCAACAATGGTTCTTTCGCGGATTGGTTACAAGAGCGAGCACAAGAAGTGGCATATTTTCAGAGTACAACCAATAATGATCTTCTTGCATTGAACTGCACAGGATATTTCATCGGTTTGGATGGAGCTCGTGCACTTGATAGGGCTGCCAAAACTCAACGAATGCAATACAGAAAGGCTGCCAATAATCTCTTCGAAGGCGTCTTTTTCAATCTCTTGGGTTACCTTAGAGATGATAGTCATGGAAAATGAACAGTAGAGCACCATTTCTTATGAACCAATCCAGCGCACACATATTAGTTCTTTTTTCATCGTTTTATGTATGCTTTACGTGCTTTTCTTCTAATTCAAGCTTGAAATAAAATTTTAATTATCAAAATCTTTTCTCAATTAGATCGATGTTTGTTGTTTGATAGAAATAATTATGAATCAATAGTTTGCAGAATTTTGTTATTCCTCAAGAAAAAGACACAGAAAAAGAAATGTCATTTTTACATTGACGTCTAACAAACCTATTGCACACAATAACTTTCAATGATGGATTATTTATAGGTTGTCATTCACTGCATTGCATCGAAGCTATTGTCTCACATTCATTTCATCATGAAGAGTAGAAGAAACCTGATTAGATGTTGAGAACAGATCTGCTCGTGAATAAAGACCATCATTTCAATACGTTTTTTCTCTCTCATACGACATCCATATCAACACCTTAAACTTTCTAGTAGAGCTCATCGACTTGGTGACCTTGATTCAAGCCTGAAAATTTTCTTTTAACTGAGTCGAGACCGAAAATTTAAAGGCAACGCGCTGTAGCATCAGCATTTTGCTTGAAGGTAATTTGCTTCTGGTTTACAGATCAGCTTGATGATCAGAGGTTTACAAGAAATAGATCAGACTCATCAGTTTTACGGCAACTAGACTTGAGGGTAAATAATTCAAGAAATTGTAGTAATTAAAATCGAATCGTTTTAAGGTGTCGACAAATGAAAAATTAAAGTCGCGTTTCTTTTTCTCATTTATTATATACAGTTAGATCGATCATCACGAACTGGTCAACAGTATAGTTGTTTCGAATTCTTCGAAAGTGCTTTTTATGATGACCTGTTTTCTCTGAAAAATAGGTTAATTCTTAGTAACCTATAAATTTATAAATTTGTTTGTTTACTTTAAACTTCAAAAGTAATTTTAAAATAACTTTTCTCTATTCAGCTATTCAAGCTGAATCTAAAAGCAACATTTTTGAAATTTGAAGTCAACAAAAAAATTGAGAATTTATCAACTACATTATTTTTCAGATCATCATAAAAAAACTGAAGATTTTCGCCTAATTTTTCATTTCTGGCATCTTAAAATGTTTTTACAAGTATATAAAAAAAAATGAAGTTCCTGTATTCGGTTAGAGATAGTAGCTTCAAAGGAGGCTTTTGAACTTTACTTGTGTAATTAAAAACTCGGTGCATTAACCTATTATTAAAAAAAAAACTTTTGGGAAGAAACTATTGCAATATTCTTTGTTGTTATAGTAATATATCAATTATTCGAACAACTAAACGGTCAGATTTTATTTATCAAACAATCAGTAATTTTTTCTTTTGTTTTAAATGTTGAAAACTATACTAATAAATGTCAATTCAATCGATGAATAAAGAAGAATCAACTGTTGGTACATTAATCCATACAGTAAAGATATTTTATTCTTAATAAATAATGTTTTACAATAAATGGATAAAATATATATGAAATCAAATAATACTAATAATGATACACAATCATTTCTTATTAATTCTCAAATAAGTTTATTAATCTTTGTTTTTTTTTTAATAATAGGTTAATGCACCGAGTTTTTAATTACACAAGTAAAGTTCAAAAGCCTCCTCT